CAGGAAGCAGCTTTGCATGGAATTCAGGTCCGGAGGCTCCCCAGTGAAGGAGATACAGGTTGTCCTCCTCATTTCCCTTCACTTCCCAGCTTTCCCATTATGTGTTTTACAGGACCTGGAGTCCTACATTGGTAGACATCAAGAAGCTCAGGGCAAGTTATAGCAGTCCATTCAGGACCTCTAGAGTAACACATCTATAGGAGGCTGCAACTTCTCAAGATACTTGGCTCACTGAATTTCTCTGCGGCCTGTGTCAAGAACCATTGGATAGGCTGGTCCTGCATGCACCTGGCAAGTGTGCAGCCAGCTGTGCATCCACCAAGTCAGGTCTAACTTGCTGGGCTTCCCAAACCTCTGGTGCTCAAGAAGGCCTGAGGGCCAAGTCAAAAATTCCAAAAATTTTTCTCTCCTCAGCATGCTTTTGAAGTTTACTTCATAAGAAACACTTAACAGTTGGAAAGTCTACATCCAGATATCAGAGATTAAAAATTGAATACGAATTGGATCAAATATAGAGATGTAGGTGTGATTTATGTTTAAAATTATAATGTTTAGAGAAAACAAGTAGGAATACGGAAAGTAAGCTTGAACTGCCAAAGTTCCTGTATAGAAGTGCAAGAAGCATAGCAAGGAAAACAAAGAAACTGGAAAATGCTGCTCTTACTCAAGCAGGGAACTTCAACATCACAGGTTTAACCAAAGAATGGTAAGTAAGCAAAAATGTACTGGTGCTACTCATGTCATTTTTTTTTTAAGTATAGAACAAATGAAGAGCAGTTTGTATTATAGGTCATGACTGATCTTTATGCACTATGGTTTTTAGTTAGTAAAATGTGTATACAAAGCATCTTAATTAATTAAAAACTGTAAATAATGTTATTTGTCAAATACCAGAAGAATTTCCAAGTTCAACTACCTGTCTTTGTTACTTTTAGTAAAGAAATCTTCTCTGTGGTTTTATACATATGGTTACATTAAAATTTCCACAACAAGCAAAACTTATGTAAGAATCCTAAATAGCATGGGTCAGCAGCAGCATATTTTCCACCCACAGGTTAACACCAGACTGCTGGCTTCAGTAGAAGTCACTTCCTCAATATGTAATACTTTTGCAAGACTGAAGCCTACTTGACCTTCACACATGCCCATCCTATGGCCCTTCCTTCTTCTACCTGGTTTAGTTTTGATTATTTTTTTTGGTGTCAGCATGGAAGTGCTGTTTCCCTGTATGTACAAAATACACAGACAACTTTAGGTTGCTGATCATCCCTCATCACAACCATGAAATTCCATTGCAGAGCTGAAAGGGATGCAATAACTTAGGGGGTGGGGAATCACGCTTAATCAGAAAAGTGTGAGATGTCATTTTACAAGTACATTTTAAGAAAATAGGAGAACTTTCTCTCTCTCTTCCCTCAAATCCCCAGTCTCAGATTGTTCAGTTAAATAATTTTGACAGGCTTTGTACATAGCTGGCTCCCTGAAGTTCTTTAAGAAAGACTTCATAGTTGTAGCTGCAACAAAGGCTAAAAATGAAACTTTGAAAGTTGAAAGCTGATACACAAGCACAAAGCACAGAGGAAAGGATGAGGTCTGACACTACCATTCCTATTCTAATGCTCACACCCAAAACTCTACTAAGTAAGAGGAAGGAAAATAACCTCTACAACTTTTTACTTGCCTTTTTATTATTTTTTTTAGACATACTATTTAAAGGTTACTCTGTGAGGAAATAGGTATTTTCATACAAACTCAAGCTGGCAGTGTTCCCTTTATTGGCAACATGCCTTTGGATGAATTTTATAATAGCCCAAATAACACCTTTGTAGAGCTTCTCTAAATTTTTCTGTTTGGGCTGGCATACACTGGGAGAAGACTATAAATCCTGTTTTTCAAAGAAGCATCATAACCAAATATTGCTGTTCCAACACCAACAGAGTTGAGTAGACTTTTCTTAGCCATTTTTCATAATAATTTGTGTTTCTTGGACAGTGCACTTACACTTTGTCATTACCAATGTACCTGCAGCAGTAATTTTTCCTTTTGGATGTAAGGAACTAATTAATAAGAATCTGCTTCTATTAAGATAATTCTTTTGAATAAATTACAATCTTGTCTCTATCAGTTTTAAATTTTAAAGAAATGCAAGGACTAATTTAACAAAAATAATAAGATATTTGTCTAAGACTCACAAGTAGCACTCACAGGTGTTGTGCAAATTTTCTCAGTAGAGTTCTACCACCCAAATTATATCACTGCCAGGCTACCTGTAAGATCATTATTCTACAAGAAATTCTTAAGGCTAAAACCATTTAGAAGGAATTCTGGTATACAGAATTAATGACTGATACCAAACCAATATCGTGACTGTCAGAGCTATTACAGTTTATGTACTACAGTGTACAATTTATATCCTCTGTTTTAAAAGTCTTAGATCTGTCACGGACCAAGTAACACTGACCTATATCATAACACTTTAGCAAATAATATCACTTAGCTATATAATACTGATAAATTTTATTCTATGGGAAGTAGTCTGAACTAGCTACCATCATGAAACTCTCAACATATATAATCTAGGGTTGCAGGGACTTGGATTCTGCTTCCTTTCCAATTAACTTCCTGTGTAACAGTAGGCAAACACGTTAGACCCAAAAGTTCAAAACTGACTAGCACCTGAACATCTTGAGAATTCAAGTCTTGGCCTTTTGTGACCCTTATCTCCCAAAGATAAAACAGAAATGGTGTAAAACAGAAATTGTAGACTTTCCAATCAAACAGATTATGGTGAGAGCAAGTGCATGAAGGATAATCATGTATTCGCATACTATGACAGTAACAGCTCCATCAATAAGATAGATTAGTTTCCAAGATTTTACAAATATCCTACAAAATAACCTTTATGTTATATTTACAGAAAATATCTGTGCAGAAATATGGATGCCATATTACCTTCTTATAAAAATTTATTTCTGATACTATTAGTAAATTCAGTTTCATCTATTAATCCTTACAGTACAGAAGAGAACCACTACAGCTTCCACAAAAGAATATAAAGAGAAACCAAATCCAGATTCCAAGCTCACAGCTATTTGAAACATGGTCTGCAGTCCCAAACACAGGCTGGGAAAAGCCAGAAAACACATAATCCTTTTAAAGTCATATACTTACTACTGCTTTTTGAATCAAGCACTGCATAAACCAAACTGCTTTTTGAAAGTTCATGTAAATTGTTGAATATTTCTAACTTTGCATTAAAAAATCAACATTTTGTTTTGATAGAAATAGTTACTGCTCTTCCAGTGTGGCTATAATAGCTGCTTTCTACATATTTCTTTCCATTCAGTGTCAGAGGAAAGGGTATTATTGGTAGGTTTGTTTCAGTGTGCCACTCTGCCTCAGTCTCACACAAAGAACTCTTTGTGGGGTCACAGATTAGCATTTGGGCAGGCAGCCAAGAGAGATGAAAGGAGGATGGCTACACTAAGGATGTACATAGCCTACACTCATCAAATACCAAGGGGGGAAAAAAAAACAACCATGAAAAAACCCTATGTAGTCTACAGTTTCAGTAGCTGTCCTCTATCCCCTTAGTTTCTGAAAAAGTGCTTTTAATGGAAGCTCTAGCAATATGGAGTTCTACACTGGCACTACAGGTTGCAGAGTCTTAAATGCAACAAGCGTTCAGTTCTGAGATCAAGTAATATTTTAACATCCAGTTATAGCAATATTGTCCAAGAGAGGGCAGGTATAGTCCTATCTTGGCAGATAAGACATATATACACCCCACCATTATGTAACAAAGAACTTTATTATACTAGAGTGTACACTTTTTTAAAAAAGATGGAAAGATAATTCACAATAATCAGCATGCTTGAAAAGCAGCAAGAAAGCTGCAATTTTAGAAATCATTGCGAAGACACAGAAAATGCTTAAGCTATCAAAATCAAGACCAAATGTTCTCTATATCATCCATATGTTTGTATCCATCTATATAAATCAATAGCAGTGCTCAGTTTCAAACAGGAAACACTGTCTGCTAAGTATATCTAGGACTTTGAAGGAATTCCTATTCTTTAGGACATAGTCAAATGGCATGTTAAAGGATTCATATTTGTGGTACAGCAGAGAGAAGATGCAAAAGCTGCATTAAATATGGAGGTAAAATAAAACTGGGAGATATTACTACACAAGGATTGAGGATAGAAGTCTACTTGATATTCCAGGAAACTTCTAATGGGAAACAAAACCTTCCCCGTTTATTTTACCACAGCTCAGTGTTGAGAATTCATGGAAGATGACTTACAGCTGACACTCACCACTTTATCTCTATTTGGAAACTGATATGAAATAAATTAATAGCTCAAACTTCTGTGTACAACTGACCTGCACAACAACCACTATTCACAACTGGCACTTTTTGTTGGCAGCCTGAGCAGAAATTCTAAGGACTACATTGGCGCATAGTCTGAAATATGCTCTGAAATCAAATTACAGTCTCTGGAGAACATAGCTGAAGTATCTCATAGTGGTAAACAACTACGAATATCTGTGCTATAAATAGCCTGTGAGTAGAAGTCTTCTGTTCTAAGCATTGTCAGATTTTAAGCATGCTTTATGTCGGTACAGTAAGCTTAGGCCCTGATAAGTTACTGACATATACTTTCCAAATAGAGTAAGCACTATAAAGACAAAACAGAATGCTATAATTAGTGCTAGATGGATGGCTATTTCACCTTTGAAAAGTGAATACAATTTTTTTAAGCAGTTAACTGAATGAAATAAAGACAGTGTAAGTGGCAAAAAGGGAAGAATGATTTGAAATAATACAACTATAAAAATCATAAGTATCTCTCTCTCTCTCTCTCTCTTTTTATATCTATCTATCTATCTATCTATCTATCTATCTATCTATCTATCTATCTATCTATATCTATACCATATATATATACTATATATATATATCTAAACCGAAACTACTACTTTAAATGCTTTCTTACCTTAGCATTTTCAATGCAAGGACAAATAGCCCAAGCTGCACTTGCTTGAACATCTGGGTCAGAATGTTTCAACAATGACCATAACAAACGAACTCCATCAAGACGGTCAATTATTCTATTGCAGAAACAGACCCAAAAAAGGATATGATTAATTATGGAGGAGACAATGTTAAATTTTAAATTGTATCAGTTTGTTTGGAACACTGCTTAAATAAATACTGGTATGAATTTCCTAAACATACTGCTTTGCTTTATGTAAGTGCTTGTGTTTCACTGTCAGCTAATTGCCATCAACATAGTCTAAATATACTATAGCAGTAAAAACAGTGATGTAAAGACAAAATATATTTTCTAACTAAATCTCATTAATGCTGGTTTGTTGGGGGTTTTTTTGCTCAGAACTGTCATTAGAAGTGCTTATAGAAGATAAAGTAAACTACATTATAAACTACAGAACTCATATAAATGTGAAAACAAGTATGTGACTTTTTAATGATCTACATGCAAAGTAAAATCTGAATTCAAGCATACTGGCTTCTTTCATATAGCAACAAATACTTTCCAAAACAAATATTTATGCCTAAAACTATGTACTTAAATTTTTGTTCAGTCTCAGCTTAATGTATTTACCTTACTCTGTGACATACTTTAAAATACTGTTTCTAATCTAGCATTAGAAATTAAAATGGTCACACCACAGTACATCCCTTGTTGGGCATGAATAATGTGTAACTTGTTTTCCATGTGTTTCTTACCAACAAGACTTACACTGAACACTATGTTATAATTACTTAAACACACTGTAATCAAAGTATCTTCGTGACTAGCTAAAAAATGAATTATCAGAATCATCTCTACACCATCTGTGTTATGTTTACAAATCAATCAGGCTTGGGATCATAAGTTCACATTAGGGTCCAGTGAATACCTTAAACAGAAAAGAAGATCAAACAAAATAAACTCTACAAAAATGCCTTTTCCACATAGATATATTAAACCCAAAGCAGATGAGCTAAAAATAAAGAAAAGCAAAAATACCTTCATTTTCTGATTTCCAAAGTAAAATTTCAGTTCCATAAAACTATATGTAATTGTATGCTACCCAATTTATTTAATTCAATATTTAATTGCAAATATAAGAGGAATTTAAATAACCATTGTGCTTGAAAACATCATATAAATCATCTCATTTGAGTTCAAGACACATAGGTTTGCCAGGAAATTTTTATATAATAAAATGAGCTTCATATGTAATCATACCATCATTTGAAGCAAAAAAAAATAATTAAGGACATGAACTCTGTAAATATAATGAAGGATTTTATTCACAACACTTTTATGCAAACTGGTAAAACAATTATGTTTTTCATAACAATATTTCTTTGCACAAAGCTATGGTTGAAACACTCTAAGGTACTTATGATCTGATGATTTAAATACAGCTTATTTTACATACTTAGCTCCAAATCAATTGCAAGAAAACCATAATTCAAAGGACAAATAAAAAAATCTTAAGCCACCAAAATAAAACAGCATAATCACACATTACACAATTACATATATGTTCAACATTGTATAGATGACTTACGTAAAAGCTTCAAAACAAGCTTTTAGATCTCTCCAAACTCCCAACATTTTAAGAAATTTTAACATTACTGTCATTTCATTAAGCACAAGGATTTTTTTTCCTATATTGGAATTAATTAAAAAAGAACCCATGAATCTTTCTTCTAGTCAAGCAGAGTACTGACCATTTACCAACATAAGATACTTCCTCCCAAGAGGGACTAAATATAAATGATCCAGCTCCAATGAGTATATAAAAATCAAGAGATAGAAGCCAAATATTAAGCTCAGCGTTTTCCACCACACTTAAAAAAACAACCTCTAGGCTGATTTATCTTTCCTTTCTATTTTTTGAAAGCTTCCTTTTCAATCTAAAGTTTACTTTCATTTTCTTTTCAGTTTTCTTATCTTCTCTTCAGTTTTTCAATGTAAACTAGCCTCACTCTATGGTACATTTTCTAAAGAACAGTTTTGCCTTTTGCTTGAAAACCAGAAAGACCAGTTGTCTTACAACTAACAGAATGGCTCAGAGTATCTGAAAGTGCAGTTCTCTGTCCATTCAATATGTATAAAATCAAACTAAAAGACAGTGCAGACAAAATATAAACTTCTAAAGTACATTGGTCATCACTGATTACTGCTTTCTCTCGGTTACACAACATTAATTCAAATGAAAAGAACTCTACATACAGGAATGATGCTCATAAATTCTCATACTGGAAGAATTATCATTGTGTAATCACCATAACAGCACAAACCCTTTCAGTTTCATCTTGTTGAGAACACATATTTGTCAATTAAAGAAAGCATTGCTAAACAAGTGACTAATGTTTTCTCAGTGAAATTATTTTTCTTTCTAGGGTTTCAGTGCAAAATGTAGCAGATGAAGAAAATGGGTGCTAAATGAGCAAATACGCTGTAACAGTAAAGGGAACATTAAAATAAATGGCCCTGAAAAACATTTCCTCTATAAAAGTGATTTGACATTAGTTTCCTTTTTATGTCAAAAAACCTTTTTAAAGTGGACAAAAAATACACATTTAGGTTTCTTCACAAATAAAGAGATGAGAAAATTGATGCATAATCTTGAAAATTTCAGCTCTGATGGCATTACACTATACAATATTGCTTTTATATATAGTTTTTGTCTTAAATTTTCTTCAAAAAACTGATTGTAACATTATCAGCAAGATGCTGTAATAAAGCTACTTAGCACAATAAATACAGACATACCTTAAAATTTACTTTTGTCGGCATTCAGTCCTGTATTTGTATTCACCCATAGCTAGTATATTAGCCATTCTGTGGTTAGTCACTTAAATTACATAATTTTTAATAATTTGTTGCATTAATATGATAAAACTAAACTACAGTTAAACCTGTACTAAACAACCACTCACAGGACTGCTAAAGGACAGTTTTTTTAATAAAGATGCAGAGATGAAGGGGAAAGCAGCTGACACCATTCCTACAAAAAGACAGCTGCAAGGTGTGAGCAAAGCATCTTCCTGGTTTCCAAACAGAACGGCTGAAATATTGTGGATCTAGAATATGTCTTATAGGCAAATAATTTTAATGCAATTAAACCCATTCAGAGATTACTGGAGTGTCTAGGACAGCTTCTGGGAAATTTCGGGCACAGTGAATTGGTATTTCCTATTTGACTAGAGAAAGTAATTTAACAAGATAATGTGTTTGATTACTTTTGTTGCCTGTTTACAGTCAACAGTTGTTTAAGAAAGACTTTTCACATTATTTCATTTAAGAACCTTGATATCATGACATCATTGAACATCATGAGATGTCTGTGCAAGATGTGTGTTACAATTCCAGACATTTGCTTTGGTTTTTTATACATCTGAGACTAGAAAAACTATTAATCTGAAATACTACTTCTCTTTCAAATTCAAACATAGCATTGAACATTAACAGCAGAATTTTCAACATATATTGCTTAAAAACACATGCATACACACAGCCTAGACATCTGTTCGTCAAATCTATAATCTTTTTCTGTCACTGTGTAATTTGCCAGAATTTTTTAAAAGTCTAGTTTAATAGCATGCCAATTTATGCCACAAATACAAGTGTAAATAAACAAAGTTATACTGATTCTGTATTGTGTTCACTGTTAAAATTACAGGGTTTAATTCTGGCAGAATGTAATCTTGTCTTTTTTGCAACCATAATTTAGCATCTTTCTTAAAACTTTCACTAAGTTACTGTCAACTGCATTGATAAACAGTATTAAATACTGATATTCCAATGACTCAAACTCCATCTGTTTGGCTAAAATAATTGCACATTTTAGTTTACGAGATTCTAAACGTTCAGTTTTGAATGCTAGAGATAAAGTGTATGGGTTTTCAAATGAAAAGGGCAAATGAAAATCTAGTGGGAGTGAAAGAATATGCACTTACTAAAAGTTCCTCAAAAAGCCAAACGGACATAGAAGATGTTCAGCAGCATCTCTGTCATTGGCCGTAGAGCAGACTGAGTGTGGAGAACAGCTTCACACTGTCCACATAATAGTAAGGAAGTTCAGTCATAGTTATTCTTTTTTAAGATAAGCCAAATTAGCTTTTGTTGTGAGAGAAGCTGGCTGCTGTTCTTTGTTTTACATAGCTCAATAGAGTCAATAAGAATAACTAAACTGTTTGAAGATGCCTTAAAGCCTTGGTGCAGAAAAGTAAAACTACTGTACCTTCCACTCTGTAGTTGTAGAAGTAAAAGTGTCAGCTAGAAAACATGGCAGAGATAAAATATAGTAGCAGTAGGTTCACCTGTGTTGATCTACTACTCTCTCTTCCTCCATGGAACATATGATAGACATACAACACTGCCCTCAGAAGTTAACTGTATTGTTTCAAAGAACACTGTATTTATAATCCATAATAATATTGTATTTCTTATATTAATTCTACCTTGCATCATTCACAGAAAATACATGAGCTGCACTCTTGGTCTGTATGGATTCCATACACCTACTTCTGCAAGTATAACCACATTCCACATTCTGCTCAACTGGATATTTAGTCTCTACATCTTGCCTTATTAAGCACACATGCAGCTAATGAAATGTAAGAATATATCCAAAATTCTCGATCTTTATGAGGCTTTAATACTCCCTTTAAATATTTCTACTTTGTTTTGGGTTTCTAGCACATATGAAAGTCAATGATAGCAGAATCTAGAAAAATCATCATCGGTTTCAGAGTTTCTGTAGTGCCAAACTGAAAAAGTAACTCCATAAAGAGTGCTCCTCTCTACCAGATGACAATGAAAACAACCCTCAAAACCTGCCAGCCAAACTTACCAGTAAAAAAGCTAATAGTTTAGAAAAACTGACCTCCTAGACCCTGTCAAGCCATTCTAAGTTATTACAAAATAAGGAATGTGATAGAGGTTCAGGTAGATGAACCAGGAAGCGCAGAAACAGCAAAGGACATCCTGCAATAGAAAGTTCCCATCACAGCCTACAAGACGCTTTGCTTTCCTTCCTTCTAGCAGGCACGCCTGGCACATCTCCACATCCTCCTTAGTATGTGTCCTTTTGGTTAAGAACTTCAGAAAATGTTTCCAGAAAGAGAACAAACTCCACAGTAGTTTCTAACAAGGCTACTTATTGGTTTAGTGACAAATTCTACAAATGGAATAAAGTGATACTACAGATTATGTATCCTTTATGTCTTTGCTGAATTACTCTTCCCAAAAAGGAGGAGAGAAGTTCAGATGAGGACCAATAATTTCAATT